GGCAGCTGCCAGTGTGCGAGAAAATGAGCGTGACTTGGGCCAGGGACAGGAGGGGACGAGACAGGGACGGGACAAAACCCCCATTGAGGTTGGCAGCACTCGCAGGGCTCTGGCCAGGGTGGGGACACCCCAAAAAGGCACCAGATTGAGCATCCTAGGGTGGTAAAATACCGGGATCCTCGATATCCCCCCTCCCCAGGACCTGCCCCAACGGCTCAGACACCTCCGTCCTCTCCAGCTGCCTCTATTAACGGTGGGGCTTGGGGACAGCCTGGGGGGACCATCCCCGTGGGGACCGGGGGGACAGAGGGGGGCCCTCAGGCCGGCGGCAGCGCGGGTGGCTCGTCCTCGTCGGAGTCGAATTCGGCATTCTCGTCCTTCACCCACTTGCCGGAGCGGTCCTGGATCCAGCCAGCGCTGGGGACGGACAGACAGACAGATGGAGGGAGTGAGAGGCGGCTCATTACCAGGTTCCCTGCGCCGACGGGGCCAAGCCTCACCTCCGCAGCTGCAGGTATCGCTCCAGGGCCTGGCGTCTCTCGGGGCTGAGGGCCTCGGGCTGGCTCAGGGCTGACGATGAGCCTTTTCCTTTGCTGCCTCGCTGCGTCCGGGCTGGAGCCGCCTTCGGTGTGTCTGGGAGGGCAGAGAGGGGCTGGCGGGACCCGCAGAAACAGGACAGGCCCAGCTGAGAGCCCGGGCACCCTGCCCAACCCAACCCATCCCTGAAGCCCCAGAGCCACCAGCCAGCTCTTACCCGCTCGCCTGCCGCGGTGCCCTGGCAGCAGGGCTGCAGGGCTGGCATCCACGGCTTCTCTGTCCTTCCACGATGGCTCCAGAGGTGTCGGGGCAGTGCTCAGCCCCGTCTGGGTCACGCCAGCTCGTGAGCTGCTTCCCTCTGCCCTGCGATGGGAGAAGGAGTCAGAGCCTCACCCCACAAACGCCTGATAGTGGTGAGGCCATGGCGCTGCCGGTCCCTCCAAGCCCAAAGGTTCCCCTGTCCTCCAGCAGTGAAACCAAAGGTCTTACCCCGTCCTCCGGCAGCAGCTGCTGTAGGGAGCAGCTTTCAGCAGAGCACTCCAGGCGATCCTCCTCGTCCGTGCCAGAAGAGGGGCTGGGGAGCCCTAGGGAGAGAGGACAGAGCTCAGGGGGTGTCTGGCCAAGGGCTCTGGTGAGGTGAGGAAGCTGCGTCCACACCAACCTGCACGCCTGCTTCCTCTGCCTGCACCTCCTCCTCCTGCCGCCGCTTCTGGGCCGCGTCCTGGAGCGAGCGCTTCCTGCCGTAGAAGCGCTGCAGGCCTGCAAGAGAACAAAGGGGATGGGGGGGATGCGCTCGCTCGGCACAGCCCACCTCCCCACCAGCCCCCCACTTACTGCCCGTGTGCTTCTTGCCAGCCCTGTGGACCGTCAGCACGTCCAGCGTGTCGAAGACGGGGCGGTGGGCGCACACTGTGCAGGCGTACCTATGCCACGTGGGGGGAAAGCCGCTGTCAGGACCCCGCAGGCAGCTGGGGGGGG